TTGGACTTGATCCTTTGCTACTCACTCTTAGTTCTCTATTGGTTACATCACACCCATATTTATAGGTGAGGGCTTGGCATTCTACTAGTTTCTAGTTCCTTCTTCAAACCTCTAGTATAGAAAAATCTAGACTAGCCACATACTTGTAGCTTCTAGATCTTTCCATTTGCAACCAAGGAAGCTAGTACTCTCTAGCTTCTTCCATCAACTTAATAACATGCTAGAATTGTCTAGCAAGCTCCAGCCTCATCTCTTGCTTACTAGAATAATCTAGAACATTGATCATGGGCTGGACCATATACCAACAATCTCCCCCTCCAGTCCATGAGGGAGGAATTCCGATCATGACTCCAAGTTACCTGGAGTTCATCCCAGCAGCTTTAATGCAGAATTCCAACTTTGATTTTGTGACTACCTTTGTCAACATGTCTGAAGAATTATTATCGGTATGAATCTTCTTCAGCTGCAGCAACTTGTTCTCGATAGCGTCTCTAATCCAGTGATAACGAATATCAATGTGCTTAGTGCGGTGAATGATACGTAGTGTTCTTGCTCAAGTCCAGAGCACTCTGACTATCACAATAAATGCCATAATCACTTTGCTTCAAACCCAACTCTTGGAGAAACTGCTTCAGCCACAACAACTCCTTGCATGCTTCTGTAGCGGCTATGTATTCAGCCTCGGTTGTGGACAAAGCAACACACTTTTGCAACTTGGATTGCCAAGACACGGCTCCCCCGGCAAAAGTGAACAAGTACCCAGATGTAGATTTTCTACCATCCAGGTCACCTCCCATGTCAGCATCTGTAAATCCTTCCAAGATTGGTTTGGAACCGCCAAAGCACAAGCACATCTTAGAAGTCCCCTTCAAATATCTGAGAATCCACTTAACGGCTTCCCAGTGGTCCTTCCCTGGATTAGAGAGAAACCTGCTCACCACACCTACTGCATGAGCAATATCTGGTCGTGTGCACACCATTGCATACATGATACTTCCTACTGCTGAAGAGTAGGGAACAACTGCCATTTTCTCCTTTTCTTCATATGTTTTTGGACACGACTCTTTGCTCAACTTGATATGATTGGCTAAAGGTGAGCTTACCGGTTTGGCTGCTTTCATGTTGAACCTTTCAAGCACCCGTTCAACATACTTTTCTTGTGACAGCCACAACTTCTTGGATTTTCTGTCACGAATTATCTCCATGCCCAAAATCTGCTTGGCTGGCCCTAAGTCCTTCATGTCAAAGGACTTAGATAACTCTTCTTTGAGCTTTTTAATCATAGAAGCATCTTGTCCGACAATCAACATGTCATCAACATAAAGCAATAAGATGATGAATGTACCTCCAGAAAATTGTTTGATATAGACACAAGAGTCAGCATGAGTTCTCTTGTACCCATTACTCACCATGAATGAGTTGAACTTCTTATTCCACTGTCTCGGAGCCTGCTTAAGACCATATAAACTTTTCTTGAGCTTGCACACCAAATTTTCTTTACCTTTGACTTCAAAGCCTTTGGGTTGCTCCATGTATATCTCCTCTTCTAAATTGCCGTGGAGAAATGCAGTTTTAACATCTAACTGCTCGAGCTCAAGATCCATGCTTGCTGCCATACCAAGGATAACTCGAATGGAAGTCATCTTCACCACCGGTGAGAAAATCTCATCAAAGTCAACTCCTTTCTTTTGACCAAAACCTTTGACAACCAAACGAGCCTTGTACCTTGTCATGTTGTCGTCTCTTTTCAATTTGAACACCCACTTGTTTTTCAATGCTTTCCTGCCCTTTGGAAGCTCCACCAGCTCATAGGTATCATTCTTTGATAAGGAATCCATCTCCGACTCCATTGCCTTCATCCATTTGTCACTGTCGTTATGAGCTCTGGCCTCCTCATATGTTTCGGGCTCTCCATAATTAGTCAACATGATATACTCTGATGAAGAATACTTGGTAGACGGTCTTCGACTTCTGATGGATCTTCTGACCTGATCTTCATTCTCTTGTAGGGCTGGAGGCTCCCCCTGATTGGGTTCTCCTTGAATCTGCTCTTCTTGACTAGGCTCCCCCTGATCAGCAATCTCATGGTCTGGCACGTCTTGATCAGGCTCCTCTTGATTAGCATTATCTGATTCTGCAGGCACTTCATTGGCAGTTGCTTCAGGGATGTCATCGTGACTTTCTTCATCTGAAGCTAATGGATCAACTCCTCTGACTGCGCCATCTGGTTGTGCCTCTTTATCCGAATCCCCAATTGTTTGTTCTTCATAAAAGACCACGTCTCTACTTCGGATAAACTTCTTCTGGTATGGGTCCCATAAATCTGTAACCAAAATCTTCACCGCCATAACCAAGAAAGATGCACGGTGTAGCTTTGTAGTCTAACTTCGATCTCTGCTCTTTGGGCACATGCACAAAAGCTTTGCAACCAAACACCTTCAGATGAGAGTAAGACACATCATTACCAGTCCATACTCTCTCTGGAACATCAAGACCTAATGGTACTGATGGAGATCGGTTGATCAAATAGCAGGCTGTCCTTACAGCTTCACCCCAGAACTGCTTAGATAACTTTGCAGTCCTCAACATACACCTGACTTTCTCCATGATGGTTCGGTTCATTCTTTCAGCAACACCGTTATGATGTGGAGTTCCAGGAACTGTCTTCTCATGACGTATGCCATGTTTTACACAATACTCTCTAAACTGGTGAGATGTGTACTCGCCGCCGTTGTCGCTACGAAGGCACTTAAGAGGTTTCCCAATTTCCCTCTCCACCATGGCATGGAACTCCTGGAATGTCTGAAACACCTGGTCTTTGGATTTCAACAAATACACCCACACCCTTCGTGAAGCATCATCAATATAAGTAACAAAATATTTATTTCTTCCAAGTGACTCGACTTCCATGGGACCACACACATCTGAATAAACAAGATCTAACAAGTTTCCTTTCTTTGTAGATGGAACAGAAAAACTAACTCTTCTTTGTTTTCCGAATAAACAATGCTCACAAGAGTTTAACGACGTACCTTCGGTAAAGGGAATGTGAGACTTCTTTGCCAAAACTTGTAGGCCTTTCTCGCTTATGTGGCCCAGCCTCTTATGCCATAAGTCTAGAGATGAGTCCTCCACAGCATTCAACTCACCTTTCAAAACCTGTGCATTTGACCGGTACAACGTACAACAAAGTCGTGCTTTTGCTACCACCATTAAGCCTTTAGTAAGCTTCAATTTTCCTTCGCCAATATGGTGATAATATCCTTGTCGATCAAGGGTACCGATGGATATCAGATTGAGACGTATATCAGGAATATGTCTCACATCTTTCAACATCAATTGGCAGCCGAGATTAGTTCTTAGACATATATCACCAATTCCAAGAATTTTGGAATAGCTTTCATTCCCCATCTTCACTATGCCAAAGTCACCTTCTTTGTATGTACTGAAGAACTCCCGTTTGGACGTAGCATGGAAGGAAGCTCCATTATCAAAGATCCATTCAATGTCTCTGTCAGAGTTGCCTATATGCAGACATTCACCAACAGACAATATTTCTGGTACATCACCACATATGACAGCGGTGGTATTGCCAGTATCATCTTTCTTCTGATTGTTTCCTTCCCTTTGCTCTCTCTTCCAAACTCGACAATTTTTCTTCATATGGCCTTCTTTGCCACAATGGTGGCATGCACCCCTGAACCTTGACTTGGATCGGCTAGGACTCCTGCCATGACCTCTAGGCCCTCTACTCTTGCTTCTTCCGCGGTTCTCTGTGACAAATACTTGGCTGCTATCTGTGCCAGAAGTCTTTCTCCTTGTTTCTTCATTGAGCATGCTATTTTTAACATTATCAAGGGTAAGAACACCATTAGAAGCAGAGTTACTTATACTCACCACAAAGGTCTCCCAACTGTCTGGCAAGGATCCAAGTAACAAGAGCGCTTGTAGCTCGTCCTCGATCGTCATTTTCATAGTAGCCAACTGGTTGATGATATTCTGGAAATTGTTCAAGTGTTCTGCTACACTTAAACCATCCTTGTACTTCACATTGATGAGCTCTTTGATCAAGAAGGCTTTCTTAGCTGGAGTCTTCTTCTCGAACAAGGACTCAAGCTTTGTCCAAAACTCGCGAGCATTGGTTTCATTAGACACATGGTGAAAAACACTATCGTCCACCCATTGTCTAATTGTGCCAATAGCCTTGCGATTCATCTTCTTCCCACTCGGCATCGGACATGCTCTCGGGCTTAGCGGCATCTCCTTCAATTGGCTCATGCAAATCCTTGCAATAGAGAATGTCCTCCATCCTTGGCTTCCATGTTACCCAATTGGAGTTGGTGAGTTTGATCATAGTGCCACTTCCTTCCATCTCGTAGTACGAGCCAACCGGGCTCTGATACCACTTGTTAGGAATGTCGGTACTACAAGATAGAGAATGCACAAGGTAAAGTAGAAAATGGACGCCAAGAATTTATGTGGTTCGGCAATTTATGCCTACGTCCACCAAACAAGGAATCTTCACTATATGAAAAAGATGAATACAACAAGAGTAGTCTTACCAAGCCAAAGACAAGGCTTGATGGATACAAGAAAGTATAACACACACTTTCTATCACTCTAAACTTCACTCACACAATGTGTAGTGGAACACTCTCACTCTCACTCTTGGAGTGGAACTCTAGCTTTGGACTTGATCCTTTGCTACTCACTCTTAGTTCTCTATTGGTTACATCACACCCATATTTATAGGTGAGGGCTTGGCATTCTACTAGTTTCTAGTTCCTTCTTCAAACCTCTAGTATAGAAAAATCTAGACTAGCCACATACTTGTAGCTTCTAGATCTTTCCATTTGCAACCAAGGAAGCTAGTACTCTCTAGCTTCTTCCATCAACTTAATAACATGCTAGAATTGTCTAGCAAGCTCCAGCCTCATCTCTTGCTTACTAGAATAATCTAGAACATTGATCATGGGCTGGACCATATACCAACATATTATATATATATGTCCATGTAATCAAACCGACTGAGCATCAGATAATTATTATTTAAGAAACTTATGAACGATGAAAGCTAATTTCCCTCCGACTCCGAGTATGGAACTACTGCTGACATAGCAAGCCCGCATGGTCCGTCTTTAAGATTGACACCTTTCGGCAGTCGGATGTAGCCTCCGTCACCCCAATGTAGACCCCAGGAGTTCTTGACAACCCACCACTCTTGTCCGATAAAGACATCACCGCCATATCCGACGACAAGGACGGCATGTGTTGTGTTCTGGCCACAGTGCCCATTGTACACACCAGTTCTGTAAGTTTCAAATTCAGGGTCATGAAAATCCACCAGAACAGCAACGGGCTGCCGGGAAACTTCTTTAGCCAAGGAGGCTTCATTGGGAGAGACAAAGGCATAACCGGTAACAGTTATAATGTCGCTGTAGTGGCCCTTCGGCTTCGCTAAACAGATCGGTGACTTTACGCCCTTGTACGGGTATTCCTCTTCCGTATCAATGCTTTGTTGGATGTCAGACATGTACTTCATGGCTTTGTCTATATAGCCACCACCGCAGCCCTTATTGTACCCATGAGTGTCACAGTCGATGAGTTGCTGAACTGAAAGGTCGACTAAGTCGTCGGTCTTGATTTTGTTCAGCCCTTCCACGGCTCCCACTGCACTAAATGCCCAGCAGGACCCTGTATCACAAACAACATAAAGTACATTTTAAGTTCCCCAACAACTCGTTGAACAATTATTGTATTTTATTTTCCTTTCTTAACAAATAAATAGTTGCATATATAATTGAAGGGTTAACTACTTGTTCAAAACTTTCTAGAGGGTTTTGATGGGTTTGATTAAAATATTAAAACTTGATCTGTTTAAATTTACTAAAACATGATCATTTTATTAATGCAAAAAGCTGAAATCCTTTAGTTTTTTTATTGGAAAAACTAAAACTTTAAACAAAGATGAAGTATTAACTAGTGTAAGAAATTAAGCATAGTCTTACCACAAAGGCCCTGATCCTTCACCGAGGTCACAGCCCCAGCATCCACCCAATCCACGTATTCTCGCACATCCTCAAGTCCAGCATCGTCAATGTAGATGGTGTCGTTGGTTGGAGACGAGTGGGGGGCCACTCTTCCACCTGCGCAAGAAGCCAGTCTCTGAAACTCATCGTCCGTGAGGTCCGATAGAGCGTTGAATCCTGAGGTGTATGTCTTGCTTGTGTCTTTGTTGGAAGCCTCAATGAACTTAGCTGTAGCCTTGAAATTTTGGTAGCGCATCTCCCTCTCCTCTAGGGTGTTGTACACCCTCCCGTGTTCCTTCATCCAGTTGATGTGCATCTCTCGCATAGCTTCTTCCTCATCATGATTCGTCCCCACCTCCTCATTGCCCTGAAATTGGCGAGCCGAGGACGGAGAGGTTGCCAAAGTTCCTATGGTTAGTGCTACAAAGAATATTGTTTTGAGGGGAGACATGTTGCTAGCTAGCTTTTGATCTCACTGAGTAATAGTTTGCACAAATGAATGGGTTTTTATACTAACTCACACACTTCTTAAGTGTCAGCGTTTATCTCTCCCATTAAACTCTGATGTACCTCACAAATTACCAATAATGCACCATATTTTCCGTGTAAGCAACAGTGTATGAGGTTTTGAGAAAAAATGTAAAGGGAACATAATATTGCAAGTGTGAAATGAAGAAATTGGTGTTGATGTAATTTGAAAACTTTCAACTACCCAGACAATATTTGTCCGATTGATTATCTTTACATCATTCTAACCATTATAGCAGGTCACAACCCATTTGCATTATATTTAGGCATTTAGGCTAGCTTACTGTTTAATTTCATATACCAAAAGAGAGTCCCATTGAAATGAAGAGATCAAGCTGACAATTCGTGGTTTTGTTATTATTTTAGGAACTTAGGCTAGCTTACTCTCTTAGTCCAGAGTTGAATCATTACCTTAATTTCTTTTATCATTTGAATCAATGATCGGTTCATTTTAACATTCATCGTGTGATGTGGACTGTGAATACTGTGTGAACACAATGTTGATTGGGAATATATATGATGTGAGCTATTTATTTATGCAATAATGTCAACATAAATTTGTTTTCTTGGGCATCAAGTTGCTATACATGTGTACAAAAAATTTGAAGGATCAATCACAAATGAGGAAAATAAACAGATTCAATCTAAAGTAAAAACACGCTAATTTTGAACTAGTTTTGGTATAATGCATAATCAGAAATGTACATGAAGGAGGACCGAATTGTGATCAAAGCGGATCTCAAATTAGATAATGAAAATTTTGAAACGTACACGCACCCAGTAGACGAATTTTGACCATTCAATAAAGCTTTGGGCACTTAATTCTGATGTTTTCCTCTACTTCAACCATTTTGATCTATCATATGCTTAATTTGTCTCTTGTATTTCTTCGGGTTTAATTTTTTCTTTTATTTCGGTAGTATGAATAAAGTTGTAGTGGTTATATGAAGTCTAACTACAAGATTGCCATATTTATTTCAATAGTTACGTGGTGTTTTTTTTTTTGGGGGGGGGGGGGGGTGGGAAGAGGTAATGATGGTCGGGGAGCGTCGAATCCGAATGAGGATGGACACAAGAGTACTGATTTTCACTATATGTGATACTAGCCCTCCTCACAACATTGCCAAATTTAAGAACATTGATCGATCAGTCCATGAGGCCAAGTTCGATGAATATATCAAAAAAGTACTCATTTGTCTCTTGTATTTCTTCCTAGGTCGGTCCTGGCTCAAGGCAACCAGGGTGACTGCACGGGGACTCAAAACGTCTAGGGCACAAAAACTCAAATTTAATTTGTATTATTATATTGTTATGTTCAATAAGCACATCAATAATAAAACTCAAGTTATTTATCGTAATTTGTTACTTGCAACAGTGTTTTTCGTTGACTTGTTTTTTTTTTTTAATTTTATTTATGAATCAATTCATTTTTGGTTTAGTTTAAATAAGTGTAAAATAATAGCTATATTTCTATATGTTGTCTTTGACGAAAGTGGCTTTTATAAATTTGTTTTCAATTAACTGCCACTCTTTGGAAAAAACAAAAGAAAATTAATAGCCACCCAAGTTCAAATCCAAATGAGGGCCTTTTTCTTTTTAACAATGATGTTATGTTTCAATATAATGTTAGGGTTTAGAGGGTTAGTTTTCTTTCTTATACAAGAAAAAATGAGTACTTGTATGCTTTTAGCCGGAATCTTATTAAAAATGGGACCGTATGGATTGGTTCAGATCAATATGGAATTATTACCCCACGCTCATTCTATATTCTCTCCCTGGTTGATTATAGTAGGCACAATTCAAATAATCTATGCAGCTTCAACATCTCCCGGTCAGCGTAATTTAAAAAAAAAGAATAGCCTACTCTTCTGTATCTCATATGGGTTTCATAATTATAGGAATTGGTTCTATAAGCGATACAAGACTCAACGGAGCCATTTTACAAATAATCTCTCACGGCTTTATTGGCGCTGCGCTTTTTTTCTTGGCGAGAACGAGTTATAATAGAATACATCTTGTTTATCTCAACGAAATGGGCGGAATGGCTATCGCAATTCTAAAAATATTCCCGACTTTCAGTATCTTATCAATGGCTTCTCTTGCATTACCGGGCATGAGCGGTTTTGTTGCCGAATTGTTAGTTTTTTTTGGAATACTTACTAGTCAAAAATATCTTTTAATGACAAAAATATTAATAACTTTTGTAATGGCAATTGGAATGATATTAACTCCTATTTATTCATTATCTATGTTACGCCATATGTTCTATGGATACAAGCTTTTTAAGTTCCTAAAATAATAACAAAACCACGAATTGTCAGCTTGATCTCTTCATTTCAATGGGACTCTCTTGTGTCCATCCTCATTCGGATTCGACGCTCCCCGACCATCATTACCTCTTCCCACCCCCCCCCCCCCAAAAAAAAAACACCACGTAACTATTGAAATAAATATGGCAATCTTGTAGTTAGACTTCATATAACCACTACAACTTTATTCATACTACCGAAATAAAAGAAAAAATTAAACCCGAAGAAATACAAGAGACAAATTAAGCATATGATAGATCAAAATGGTTGAAGTAGAGGAAAACATCAGAATTAAGTGCCCAAAGCTTTATTGAATGGTCAAAATTCGCCTACTGGGTGCGTGTACGTTTCAAAATTTTCATTATCTAATTTGAGATCCGCTTTGATCACAATTCGGTCCTCCTTCATGTACATTTCTGATTATGCATTATACCAAAACTAGTTCAAAATTAGCGTGTTTTTACTTTAGATTGAATCTGTTTATTTTCCTCATTTGTGATTGATCCTTCAAATTTTTTGTACACATGTATAGCAACTTGATGCCCAAGAAAACAAATTTATGTTGACATTATTGCATAAATAAATAGCTCACATCATATATATTCCCAATCAACATTGTGTTCACACAGTATTCACAGTCCACATCACACGATGAATGTTAAAATGAACCGATCATTGATTCAAATGATAAAAGAAATTAAGGTAATGATTCAACTCTGGACTAAGAGAGTAAGCTAGCCTAAGTTCCTAAAATAATAACAAAACCACGAATTGTCAGCTTGATCTCTTCATTTCAATGGGACTCTCTTTTGGTATATGAAATTAAACAGTAAGCTAGCCTAAATGCCTAAATATAATGCAAATGGGATGTGACCTGCTATAATGGTTAGAAGGATGTAAAGATAATCAATCGGACAAATATTGTTTGGGTAGTTGAAAGTTTTCAAATTACATCAACACCAATTTCTTCATTTCACACTTGCAATATTATGTTCCCTTTACATTTTTTCTCAAAACCTCATACACTGTTGCTTACACGGAAAATATGGTGCATTATTGGTAATTTGTGAGGTACATCAGAGTTTAATGGGAGAGATAAACGCTGACACTTAAGAAGTGTGTGAGTTAGTATAAAAACCCATTCATTTGTGCAAACTATTACTCAGTGAGATCAAAAGCTAGCTAGCAACATGTCTCCCCTCAAAACAATATTCTTTGTATCACTAACCATAGGAACTTTGGCAACCTCTCCGTCCTCGGCTCGCCAATTTCATGGCAATGGGGAGGTGGGGACGAATCATGATGAGGAAGAAGCTATGCGAGAGATGCACAAAAAAAAAAAAAAAATCTATAAATATAATGTCATGTTCAGTAAGCATATAAATAAATAAAACTCAAGTTATTTATCATAATTTGTTATTTGCAGTAGTGTTTTTGCTGACTTGTTGCCTACGTTTTTTTATGAATCATTTCATTTTTGGTTTAAATAAGTTTTAAAGTCTCAACATTACTCTTAATCAAGACGATTAGATGTTATAAAATCTAGTGATTAAATACAAAATAGAGTATTTATCAAATATAGCAAAAAATTAACTCTTAATTTCAAAAATGTCACTTTTTATAAAAACTTTCAAATATATCCAAAATTTCATTTATATAGACACAATTACCCTCAAATTTAACAATTAAATAAATTAAAGGCTTTTTAGCTACTGTCGTCTCAAGCTCCGGTCCAACTTCATCTTCGCTTCTACACTCCACCATCACAACCCTATCCCCTTCGACCCCTCATCACCGACATTGAGTGTCGCTGCAGTTACCGCAAGTGGGAGCAGCAGAATTTCAATCATGCCTTCAACACTTTTTTTCTTACTAATATCATTTTTAGTTTTAAATATAAAAATAGTTTTTAAAGTTAATCCGTGAAACCCACGTGGCGCCACATCATAACACTAACAGAGCAATTGTCAGATTTTTCAAGAAAAAACTAGTATGATCACGATTGACAAATTCAAAGAAAGACTAAAATGATTCACGATAGACAAATTTCAAAACACTACTATTGATTATCATTAATTGTTAAGGACCAGATTAAGAATTTATGTCAATGTCATGAATCATTTTGGCTAAAAAATCTTTAATTTATTTTATTGTTAAAATTGAGGGTATTTGTTATTTAGGTGAAATTTTGGATATATTTGAAAGATTTTTTTTATAAAAAGTGATATTTTTAAAATTAAGGATTAATTTTTTGCTATATTTGATATATACTCATACAAATATGTGTCAAAGTATTTGTTTGTTCGTATCCCAAATCTCCGACGGGGTCATCGATTCATCAGGCATGGCGTCTCCTCTCAAACTAATTTCCTGCTCGCTGTTTTTATTTTTCAGCTTTATTTTCTGGTCCAAGAAGCCGCCGATTCACCCCAACATCATCGCCAAAACCCTAACCTCCTCCGGTCCAACTTCCAGTGATAGCTAGGGATAGGGATTTGTCAGATTTGAGAATTTTTGTCCGCAGCCAAACAGCTGCCGCTATGAGAATCACAAAGCCTTTGCTTCTGTCCGAAGCTAAGGACAAAAACATGGTGTTCTCTCCGCTGTCCATCCACATCGTTTTGAGCCT